AGACACTTATCCGACATCTATCAGACTTTCTTATATTTGATCAGACTTTTATACGAAATATCGAAAGAATGTCAGATATGGTATCATACATTTGTCCGACTTTAATCAGATTTGTCGAAAATTCCTTCAGAATTTCCCCAGGAATTTACATCAGATTTCGTACCTAATTCTGACCGAAAATTCTGCACATTTTTCCGAATTTCCTCAGACAAAGAGTTCCGAATTCCGAGCAACCTTTCATACGATTTTCGCAACGAAATCTGACGGAATTCGGATACGAAATCGGCAACTTGTGCAGACTGTCGGTACGAATTCGTTACGAATTCGGCAAAAATTGTTTAGTGGGTAGTTTGTATTGCGTTTGTATAAGTGAGAATAACACAATGCTCGCAGGCAGGGCTGCCAGATAAATTTTTGAAAAAATTGTCAATTTCCCGATAAATTTTTAAATAATCGTCATTTTGGTTTTCAGAAATCGTCAAAAAAAATCGGAAAATATGAAAAGCTTAAAATTTTTATAAAAAAATAAAAATAATGTAATATTTTAAGATGAAATATATTTAATTTTTTTAATTTTTCAAAAATCGTCAGTTCCAAGGAAAAAATCGTCAAATCGTCACTTTGCTATTTTTGAAATGAAGAATCGTCAAAATGACGATAAATCGTCAAATCAGACAGCTATGCTCGCAGGGGCATGTTTCTCCACCATTGCATTAAAGTCATTTACTGAAGGGGCCCTTATATGGGGGATGGGGTCAATTATGGGCCTATCCTTATAAAATTTTACAAAGAGATTTAGGTTCCCATACAACATGTTTGTGCCGAATTTCACCACTATAGATGCTTCTTTTAGCCGGTTATTAGCGATAAAGCCATTTTCTGAAGGGGGCCTTATATGGGAGCTAGGCGAAATCGTGGACCGATTTGTCAATTTTCAATACCAAACAAACTTCATCAACTAAAAGTAATCATTCAAAATTTCAGCTCGCTATCTACTTCCATTTGGACTCTATCGTGTTTTCAACAGACAGACAGACACACAGACGGACGGACATGGCTAGATCGTCATAGATTTTAAATAGGACCCAAAATATATATACTTTTATGGGTCTTAGACGAATATTTCAATGTGTTACAAACGGAATGACAAAAACAATATACCCCCCATCTTTTTTGATGGTGGGTAAATAAAGTAGAATCCAAGGCGAATAGACTATAAGGTGAAGTCATTTCATTTTGCGGCGAATTCATGAAATTTTTTATATATGTAGTTTGACAGCGTCGGGTTTGAGAGAGAATTTTTTTTATATGGAGTTTGACAGCTTCGGGCTAAATTTCCATGGACAAAAAAACAATCAGCTGTTTCACCTTATTAGTTTCGCCATGGTAGAATCAGTAGAAAAGTACGTTATCAATTTTAAATGCCTTGAATTGTCACAAAAAAGAAAATTAAAAAATATAAAATAAAACATCAAATTGAAATTTTTTTTCTGAAAAAGTTAAATTAAATAATTTGAATAAAAAAGTTTGCAAAGCCAATAAAAATCAAAAACAGTACCCCGTTTCTGTAACTTTTAGTGAGAAGTTCTCACATCGAGAAGTGTGAAACAAAAAATTCCATCGTTTCTCGATTTGTGAGTAAAAAGTGTTTCTGTAACTTAAAGTGAGAAGAGGCTACACGAATTACGTTTTTATTGGAAATTTCCAATAAAACAGCTGTCAAAAATATAAAAATTAAAAGAAGAAAACGAACAAATTTATAAACGAAGAATAAATAAACAAAAAATATAGAAATTAAATGAAAATTGTTCGAAAAATTATCCCACTAAATTCGCCCTTGCCAAATTTACGCCCACGTACTTTTTTAGCATTTGCTTCTGTACATACGAAATTCCTCGTATTTTCTAAAAATTAGTGAACAATATTTATTTTAATCTTAATTAATTATAAATATAACATTACTTTTTCATTATTTCATAGAATTCATGTTTAAATTAATTTTTTTTTAATTAAAATTTTACTTTCCGCACCGTTTTAAAATGTGAGTTTTTTTGACAGTTCATGTGAGAAACTTCTCACAAAATTTTCTTACAGAAACACTTTTACTCACAAATTTCCAATAACTTACTTCAAAAAACATAAATGACAGATAGTTCTCACAAAATTTTCTTACAGAAACACTTGCATGTGAGAAATGATATTTTGTTTCAATTCACATTGTTTTTTCTTCAATTTCACTGTTTCATGCGAGAAACTTCTCGATGCGAGAGTTACAGAAACGAGGCACAGGATACAAAAGTGTAGAATGCTATTTGCGTGTGCCGTTCATGAATCATTTCATGGTATTTTTCGTGGTTTTTCATTTGGATATCTGAAGCTTTTCTCTTTTCAGTTCTTTTGCGTTTGATTTTATAATGGTTGCTTGCAAAGAATAATAAGAAGTTGGACTATGACATTGTTTTACAACAATAACATTTCCTTCTCTTCACAGACGAGTTCTGTGTAAATTCAACACACTTTTGAGAACTCAATTCTCTCACAATACTTCAAAACTTTTTCCCGAAAATACCGGGATAATAGGACTTGAACGACGTTTTTCACAAACATATAACTATTTTTTAATTTTTTACACAATTTTATCGCATTTAACAATCCGAAATATTTTTATTTTTCACAAACTAAAGAAATATTTTTTTAATTTTTTTGACAATTAATTTTTGTGTGTTGAAATTAAAATTGACAAAACAAAGTTGTATATTTTGGTATTGAAAATTAAAAAATTATTTAAAATAAACTTATTTTTTTTGCAAAAAAAGAGATTTTAAGTCCGAAAAATATATTTATTAAATGTTTACTGATTAGATGTGGGCAAATAAATTAAAAAATCTGCGAATGTAGAAATTTAAATGTTATTTTTTTTCCTAAAATTTTTATTTACGATTTTATGCAAGTATGTATGTTTGAAAAGTGTGGTGAAAGTGGTTGGAGCTCCAATACTAATACAAAAATTCTACCAATACATACTTAGAGTTAGGTACCGAATGACAACTCCTTTACGTTCCAACTGACAAACCCCAATTTCTTTATATTCAAAAATTTTTCATGTAATTTGTTTTTGCATTTGGTACGCACTGATTCCAAAAACAATAATTGCGGCGAATTCATTTAATGAAAATATTTTGTGAAATTTTTATATTTTATAAAAAATATGTGCACTTAAAAATATAATTTGTGAAGATAATGAAGAGTGGAATAATGTTTGTTCCAAATGAAAAATTCTATTTGTGCCCAAAATTATCTAAAATTAATATTTTTGTGAAAAATAAACATAAAAATGTAAAAATTTGTGGAAAAATTATATAACGAATGAAAGAATCATTGTTGTAAATGGAAAATCCTACTCCGGCGGAGTAATTTTTAAGATTTACACGTTGTAGTCAGCTGCCGCCGGACGGGTAAATACCTAATATGTATGTGTTCTGTTATAAAAAGCGTTCCGGAACAAAATTTTGTTAGTTAATCACATTATATACACAGTGTAAATATAAAACAATTTATTAAATTTTTTTTAGATCTCAAAATTTGGCCATAACGTAGAAGAAATCTGCCGCCGGTCGGGTAAAAAACTCATGTGGGTTTTTTATACAAAGTGTTCCGGAACAAAATATTTTTAATTAATTGCGTTATCTACAAAGTGTAAATATAAAATATAAACAATATTAATTTTATATTTAATAGAAATATATTATTGTAATATAAAGTTGGTACATGCGTACCAATTTTTCATTGTTTATATAAGAAAAATATTTGTTTACAAATTCCTTGATATTTTCAGATTTTTACATTAATTATTCAAATTACTAACGAAGTTTTTCTGTCTTAAAAATAAAATTTTTTAAAATATACTCATGGTGTAGGGTATTATATGGTCGGCCATGCCCGACTAAATTTTCCTACTTGTTATATATGTAGAAGATTTAATAATAACTATTTTTTAGATACATGCGTCCAAACGACATTTACGTGCATGCCGAGATTCAGGGAGCATCGAGTGTCGTTGTTCCAACTGACAAACCCCAATTTCTTTATATTCAAAAATTTTTCATGTAATTTGTTTTTGCATTTGGTACGCACTGATTCCAAAAACAATAATTGCGGCGAATTCATTTAATGAAAATATTTTGTGAAATTTTTATATTTTATAAAAAATATGTGCACTTAAAAATATAATTTGTGAAGATAATGAAGAGTGGAATAATGTTTGTTCCAAATGAAAAATTCTATTTGTGCCCAAAATTATCTAAAATTAATATTTTTGTGAAAAATAAACATAAAAATGTAAAAATTTGTGGAAAAATTATATAACGAATGAAAGAATCATTGTTGTAAATGGAAAATCCTACTCCGGCGGAGTAATTTTTAAGATTTACACGTTGTAGTCAGCTGCCGCCGGACGGGTAAATACCTAATATGTATGTGTTCTGTTATAAAAAGCGTTCCGGAACAAAATTTTGTTAGTTAATCACATTATATACACAGTGTAAATATAAAACAATTTATTAAATTTTTTTTAGATCTCAAAATTTGGCCATAACGTAGAAGAAATCTGCCGCCGGTCGGGTAAAAAACTCATGTGGGTTTTTTATACAAAGTGTTCCGGAACAAAATATTTTTAATTAATTGCGTTATCTACAAAGTGTAAATATAAAATATAAACAATATTAATTTTATATTTAATAGAAATATATTATTGTAATATAAAGTTGGTACATGCGTACCAATTTTTCATTGTTTATATAAGAAAAATATTTGTTTACAAATTCCTTGATATTTTCAGATTTTTACATTAATTATTCAAATTACTAACGAAGTTTTTCTGTCTTAAAAATAAAATTTTTTAAAATATACTCATGGTGTAGGGTATTATATGGTCGGCCATGCCCGACTAAATTTTCCTACTTGTTATATATGTAGAAGATTTAATAATAACTATTTTTTAGATACATGCGTCCAAACGACATTTACGTGCATGCCGAGATTCAGGGAGCATCGAGTGTCGTTGTTCGAAACCCAACTGGGGGTGATGTACCTCCAAAAACCTTGTTAGAAGCTGGTACTATGGCTATTTCATACAGCGTTGCGTGGGATGCAAAAGTTGTTACAAACGCTTATTGGGTGCGCAGTGACCAAGTAAGCAAAACTGCTCCCACGGGTGAATATTTAGGTACAGGTAGCTTTATGATTCGTGGAAAGAAGAACTTTTTGCCATCCTGTCATTTAATTATGGGCCTTAGTTTGCTATTTAAACTGGAAGACAGCTTTATCGAAAATCATCGTGGAGAGCGGAAAGTACGAAGTTTTGAAGACGAACAAGAACACCAAGCCGAAAATCAATTGAAAATAACAACTTTGGAGAACGAAAAGCTAGATGATATTATAGAAGTAGACGTTGACCTTGAAGGGAACAATGACAAGAATGATGATGAAGATATAAAAAAAGAACTTGAAAATTTGACCCTACAGGATGATATCGAATTTCCAGATACACAGGTTAAAGTTGAACACGATACAGGACGGATATCTCTAAAAAATCAATTGATATCCTCCCATCAGGTGTCAAAAGAAACTGAACATGGCAAAAATGTTGACAAAACTTCGGTTGAGGAAGAAGAATCCACTATTATTCCTGCAGCTGCACCTCGTAGAAAACAACAACAAAATTCTAAAAAACGCAAGGAAGAAAAATATCGTAAATCTCAAAAAGAACAGGATCAGAAACTTCAAAAACAACAGTTCACCGATGATAGTGAAAACAAGAACAAGTCTCAGATAATTAAACGTGGCCAAAAAGGCAAACTAAAAAAGATTAAAGCCAAATACAAGGATCAAGATGAGGAAGAACGACAATTACGTATGCAAATTTTGAAATCTGCTGGGAAAATCAGTGAAGTTGCAGCTGATTCGAAGCAAGATGAGGAAAATTCCTCAATGACGAATATCAAATTGAAACACCCAAGTGAACAGAAACAAATGCAGGGAGAAGTGGAGGATTTGGATGACACACCAACTGGTGCTGATGTTGAAATGATTGATTCATTGACTGGTCAACCATTCGATCAAGATGAGTTGTTGTTTGTTATACCAGTAGTTGCGCCTTATCAGTCTCTTCAAAATTACAAGTTTGTATTGAATTTTGTTTGATTATTAACATTATTTCTTCTTAGTTTTAATTTTTTTTAAAATTAGATTTAAAGTTAAACTTACTCCTGGTACCGGAAAACGAGGTCGGGCAGCAAAAACAGCTCTCACTATGTTTTCAAAGGACAAATTGTGCACTCCAAGAGAAAGAGATCTTCTAAAGAGTATCCGAGATGAAGCCTTAGCTCGTAACATACCGGGAAAAGTAAAATTGTCTGCTCCACAGTTACAGAAGTTCAAAAAATAATATTATTTTGTGGATATCTGTAGAATAAATTGCCTTTGTAATGTATATTAATGTATTTGGAATATTGTATAACAATTCTAAAATCAAGAATAAATATATACATATGTATTTTAAATACATTTATAGCCAATCTTCAGGTGAACTATTAGCGATTATATTAAAATTAACCCCCAAATGTTGTTTTTGAGTACTCAGTTAATTTTGCCCAATAAAGGTAGTTTAAACTTGAATAAGAAATGCAGAAGCAAAAAATTAATACAATTTCTATAAAAATAAACACTAAGGTCCAATCTTTAGGTGAAAGATTAGCGATTGAATTAAAATTAATTAATTAGTTAATTTTGTTGTGGTTTAATCTTAAGCACGAAATGCAAAAGTGTAAACAGCTGATGCAAAAAAATTAATACAATTTTTATAAATAGAAACATTAAAATGTTCTATTTATTGATTAGTATAAATTATGGACAGTTCAAAATACATTTTTTTGTTTTTAATTTAAGTTTTCATTAATTTTCATATTAAATTTACAATTGTCTTCTTCTTTTTTATAAAATATGCATTGTTTTGATGACAAACAGTGAGTTTTCTGTTGTTTTGTATGGCAACACTGCGAAGTTTAATCTTGTACTTAAAAACATTAAAGGGGATTAACATAAAATTAAATTTATTTTTAGATTAACTAATCTGATTATTAATTGGCATTTGATTATCATCTCAAAAACCCGCTCTTAGAGTGCAGGAGTACAAGATTAAACTTCGCAGTGTTGCCATACAAAACAACAGAAAACTTCACTTTTTGTTTCAAAACAATGCATATTTTATAAAAGAAGAAGATAATTGTAAATTTAATATGAAAATTAATGAAAACTTAAATTAAAAACAAAAAAATGTATTTTGAAGTGTCCATAATTTATACTAATCAATAAATAGAACATTTAGGGCCAATCTTTATGTGAAAGATTAGCGGTTAAATTAAAATTAATCCTCGAAAGATGTTTTTGAGTACTCAATTAGTTAATTTTGTTTGCAAGTTTAAGCGCCCAATGGAGGTGGTTTAAACTTAAGCATGAAATGCAAAAGTTTAAACAGCTGATGAAAAAAAAAATAATACAATTTTTATAAATATAAACATTAATGTTCTATTTATTGATTAGTATAAATTATGGGTACTTCAAAATAAATTTTTTTGTTTTAAATTTAAGTTTTCATTAATTTGCATATTAAATTTACAATTGTCTTCTTCTTTTTTATAAAACATGCATTGGTTTGATAACAAACAGTGACATTTTCTGTTGTTTTGTATGGCAACACTGCGAAGTTTAATCTTGTACTCAAAAACATCAAATGGGATTAACATCGGATTAAATTTATTTTTATATTTATAAAAATGTTTATATTTTTAAAAATTTTATTAATTTTTTTGCATCAGCTATTTACACTTTTGCATTTCGTGCTTAAGATTAAACCACCTCCACTGGGCGCTTAAACTTGCAAACAAAATTAACTAATTGAGTACTCAAAAACATCTTTCGAGGATTAATTTTAATTTAATCGCTAATCTTTCACCTAAAGATTGGCCCTAAGAGAAGGTTTTTGAGTTGGCAATAAAATGTCAATTAATAATCAAATTAGTTAATCTAAACATAAATTTAATCTGATATTAATCCCCTTTGATGTTTTTGAGTACAAGATTAAACTTCGCAGTGCACAGTGGGGCAGAATGGAAATTTTTTGGACGGCGCTGTGGCGGCTCAAAGTAGGGTACCTACGACATGTAAAATTTTTAAACTCGTGCCATTTTTTTGTTTTTCACCCAAATACTAAGATTTTTATATTTTGTGAAAGCACTCGACGAGATCTTGAAAAAACATGCTTGGACATACTACTTATCTCTTATAATATCCGAGTTATAGGCATTTAAAAATTTAGTGATACAAAATTTACCATACCTTGGTCCGCCTTTTTTTTGAATACCGGGCGTTTTGGACCAAATGGACTCAATTTTTTCTTGTTAGTTAGACAACAAAATTTCCAATAATATACAAAAAATTTCAGATCAATATCATTTACAGATCCAAAAATATACGTTTTTTAATTTAAAAATTCAAAAAATTTTAGATTTTTGGCCGTTTTTTGCCAAAAATGTGTCTTAAATCTTTTATTAATAAAATAAAATTTTCTTTAAGAACATATAACAATTTTATAGTTTTCTAAAAGGTATCTTTACGCAGAACGCTTTGGCGTAAAAAACTTGTCCTATTTTTTGAAAATGTTGCCACTACGTCCTTCCGAATATGACCTATTTTTTATCAAAACTTCAACTTTGGGCGACATGTTCTAAAATCCCAAAGCTGGGATCAGAAAACTGAAAGCAGTTTTGGAAACCTCAATATGTTTTCTATTTACTCCAAAAGTATTTTCCCAGCCCTGAAAGAAATGTGGACCCTATGGGCAAAAAAGTAAAAAATCCCATTTTTGGGATTTTCATTCCTATTTTTGGGAATTGCGGGATGCCCTTTGACCTTTTCAATTTTTTTTTTTTTTTGCATTTTCTTATTTGAAATGACAAATTTAACAAGCGTTGAAAATTTCATTGAGTTTTGTTCATAAATAAAGATTTTGTCATATATTACATATTTGTTTAATTTCTAAAACTATGATTTATATCAAAATTTTAATAGGGTCGCAGATAGCTACAACAATTTAGTCCATATTTATCCCTTAATATCATTTTTTAGTTAGATATGGAAATTCTCGACCCTTTACAAAAAATTTCAAGCCAATATCTCAATTACATTCAAAAATATGTTCATTTAAACCTGTGTCCTTTAATTTCATCTTTTTCATATTTTAGTATTAAGTATGACAGAACATACATTTGGTGTTGAATAAAATATTTGGACAATTTTTAAAAATTATTTAGTTAATTATTTTATTAAAGACTATAAAATTGTATAAAAATAAAAAAAAAACAACAACACCTAAATGACCCCACACAAACCACCTTTCCCGCCCACCGAAACATAAAACACAATTTAATACAATATCATCAGTTAGTATAATAGCTATTTTTATTTGAACTGTTTATCTTAAACATAATACAAATAATTCTTACAACCTACTTATATAGTTAATTCCTAACACTACTTATTTTCTATAAAATAATCTGTCATATCGGTATACATATCCAGAAGGTAACATAAGTCCTTTAAATCTTCCTTGTTTTGAGATGAAAGAACAGTTGAAAGAACAGGATCAGAAGATAGAAGTAAACTATTAAAAATATCTTCATTCTGTGATAGCCTGGAGCATTTTCTTGAGCTGAATAGTTGAACTTGCTTAAAATCTCGATTCCTCGCTTCCTGGGCTTCTTCTGTTAACTCTCCAAGTGGAAGAATATTCGATTCAATTATTATTTGACCATGACACAATACTTTGTGTACTATTGGTGTTAGTTCCCTCCATGGATACATAGATACAAGTAATTTAGAAATTTCAGATGTATATTCCCCAAATCGATTTCCATTAATTTTATGTTTACTATTCAGTGCCATTAAAATAGTGTTAACTCTTCGAAGCAACTCCTTGTCGATTCCAGTTATTTTTGAAGTAATTTCAAAATCACGAAAAAACCTTCTCGCCGTATTACCGTCATTTGTACTACCGCAACTTGGAAGTGGTTTGTCGATGTTTAATCCCATCTGAACTTTAAATTCTTCTTGGATTCTGCTTTTTTCCGCAGCTCTCAGTTCTTTCAATTCTTCATTATTTTTTGTTGATTTAGTAAGATTCTCTGGCACACTTCTATATTTGAGGTCGTATGCTATGTGTAAAAAGTAATCCAAAAATCGTATTCTGGCATGAAGTGGTGAAATTCCGAAAGACAGGACTTCTTCATTAATACTTCTGCTTTTGTTTATATTTGAGAATTGCGACTTTTTCTCATTACATATTGAGCATCTCCAGAAGGAAGAAGTTTCTTACCTTTCCATCAATCATTGTTAAGCTTAGCTGATATGATACGTTAATAGAGAATTCCTTTATTTTTATGCAAATGGGCTCCAGTGCATTTATTTCATCTTTTAAATATTCCACTAAATCTTTTGTTGTTTTCTTTGACTCCTTTATATATTCAAATCCAATGGGTCTACAAACATTTTTTGAACCCGGAGTTGTATTGATCCATATATCTTCAAATGAATTTCCGATGCTTGACGATGATGGATTAAGGGAATATGAACGAATTCGTAATGGCACTAATGATGACATAAATACACTTTTGTAGTCTGCTAATGTCCGACTTCCACAAGCTTGTTTGTATTCTGGAAGTGCTGATAAACCGTCACATCCCCACTTACATATTAAGACAACATCACAGTTATGAATTTTCCTTAGTTGGTCTTCTGAAAAGTCTGACACAATTCTTGATGCTGTGTTTTCGAGCAAAGATGATATATCAATACAAGCTTCCACATCATTAACAGCAATAGGTAATGGTAGGATAGTTTGTTTTTTTTTCCTGGATCGCCTTGTATGATGGTAATATATTGTTTCCTTTTTCATGCAGAGCTTTCCTTAATATTTGGTACTTATTTCGCCTGAGACCCAGTTCCAACATAAGCGCTATTGCTTCCTCTTCAGTAAAATTTGATTATGATGTTGGAGTTGGTATACTTTCCACAATTCGCTTAAGTCGTCTTGGTGATGCATTAGGAAGAATAGTTGCAATATGTACGACATCCATAGGTTGGTTTTCCTTTTTCAGCATTTCGTTAAATGTATCAGCAATTTCCTCATTTGAGATTGAAAAAAGTTTTTGTGTGACCCTCTTTTTTTTGACCTTGAACATAAGTCTTCGTATGACTTGCAAGGCGCTCCTGTTGATGTGTTGTAAGTTGAGATTTCCGTAGTAGTTTCCATCCAACTACAAAATTTTAATCGAAATTTCTTTTGATTTCCATCCACAGACTTACTTTTTACATCTAAAAGTTTTCAATTTTTGATATGCCTGTTTTGTCTACTTTTCTACTATATGTAGTTTTTATATAATTTGAAATGTCTTCAATTCTTTCTGGCCCTTTTGAAGATATACTC